AGGTGGACAAGTAAGGATACAGTAATCTAAGTGAGGCCGCACAAAAGTTGAGGACAGCTTTACAAAAATATTGGGCGTTAAGACACCGAAGGAGCGGCGAATAAACCACACCATACGGAACGCTCTACAAGCAGCCTTCCTCCAATTTTCCCCAGAGTGAAGCAACGAGGTATGGGTGATACCCAGATCAACCTGCTGAATGACAACTGGGAAATCACTTCCACCAAGTACATAGCGCGTGGGGGACAAGCACCTCCAATGAGGAGGACAGAACATTTCGCCTGATTTATGGGCTTCAACCATAAGGCTGGCCAAGCCCAGAGCCTATCCAACGCACTCTAAAGTGCCTCAGAGCCCCCAGGGATATCCACAATATTTCAGAGCTTGAGGTCATCAGCAAACAATAGCGAAGGTACTCCAAGCTCCTGGGGTAGGTCATTTACATAAATTGCGAAAAGCAACGGCCCTAGAACCGAGCCCTGCGGAACGCCACTAAGAACAGCTTGTCTAAACGAAACGCTACGCCCACGCGTACACACTGTTCTCTGCCCTCTAAGAAAGCAGAAACCCATTTAAGGGCGGCTCCAGATATCCTATACGATCTCAATTTCAATGAGAGTCGTTGATGTGGGACAGTAGTAAAGCTTTTGAGAAGTCAACGAAAAGCATGTCGATGGCGTGACCGGTTTCTACCGCCTCAGCCCAGCTTTCACGAGCTACAAATAAATTTGTCAGACATGAAAATCCTTTACGGAATCCGTGCTGGGCCGCACTGAGAAGGTTAAAATTAATCAAGTGATTCTCCACCGAAACCCTGACCAATTTTTCAAACAACTTAACTACTACATACGTTAAGCTGACAGGCCGGTAGTTCGCGGGCAGAACCCTGTCCCCGCCCTTAAAAATCGGACAGATGATTGCCTTCTTCCATTCCGAAGGTAAGGCACAGCTGTCGAGTGATATTGTAAACATGCATGTCAGAGGGCCACTTATCTCATCGGCCAATTCATGCATCAGCTGCAGATGAATTGAATCAGGGCCAGAAGCTTTGGAAGGATTTAGCCCTTGCAATAGCCCGAAGACTTGTGTCTCCGTTATGCTAATTTCAGTTAGGCAAGAATCCTCTGGAACTTTTGTGACCAGCCCAACCTGAGGTAGAGAGGCCTCATGAGAAAAGACACCAGTATACTATCCGCTAAGTATACAAGTATTATTAGTCGGTATGCCCATGGGTCCCATCCGCTCGTAGTAAAGCCGTTATAGGCGAGCTTGTACCGCTACGTCTCTTTACGTAGGCAAAGAACTCTGGATTTGTTACCGCTGCGTTTGCCAAATCCTCCTCGTACTGCAGACGAAGAGTTCTAAGATGATGCTTACATTTATTTCTAACCGCTCGATAGCTTTCGTAGGCGCTGGTTGATGAAGCCGCTTGGTAAGTTCGCCAGCACTTAGAGCGCTTCCTGAACAAGTATTTGCCTGCATGATTTATCCACGGAGGCTGCGCCCGTGTCACCCTTCTCTTAGTGAGCGGGATGTGGGGAGCAGAGATCTCGGTGTGGTATGCCTTAAATTTCTCCCAGGCTGGATCAACGGTGTCAGCCACGGTGCTCGCACAAGGTAAAACTGAAGCTTTGCCTCGCATTGCGTTAAAGTCTGCCCGCCAAATATTTAAGCATGCCCCAGCGGTAGCTTGATGACACTTAGTTAGAGCACATCGAAAGGATATGCAGACGTGGTCACTGGCTCCTAGAGGACAGTCGCAGGTAATATCACTTACGAAATCGTGTGTATTCGCAAAAATGGGATCCAAGGTAGAAGGAATTTGGTTGCGCATCTTTCTAGTCGGGAGATCCACGAACTGACGTAAAGGCAGTTGCAATGTTAGCTCACATAATGCTGAACCACGGCAGTGTATAAGTTCTCAATTTATGCTATGGTGCTGGGATATTACCATTTGAAAAGAGCCTGGGAAAGCTAGTCCAATAGCTGGACGCTTACAGGTGAAAAAGTCGAAGACCTTACAACAATTAAGAGATATGAGAACGTCTAGAATACAGAGGCTGAGGAGCGGCTGAGCACCGACTTGAAAAGTTGGAAGGAGTGCTAGAGAAAGCTGAAAAGTTTATATGGAAGGACACCAAATAGTCGGAGTGCATGCATAAATTAAGTCTGCTGAAGACATCGCAGCATATGAGTCAGAGGCGCGCAGATATTCAGTCCTGTTATGGTGCTAAGATTTTAGTACTATGGTAGACTGGGCTGGAAAATGCCAGTGAATGGTCTGGAATCCTACATGAGCAAACGTCACAGACGTTGCAGCAAGCAATGGATAAATGGACGTTTAGAAGGAAGAGGCAATGGAGTAACTGTGCGCAGGCCACATAAATTATGTTTGCTTCACAGAAGAGAATTAAGAAAGGTTTTGTGAAGAGAGAACAGCGAACGGATGAAGCGTAAGCATACGATATGGTTGTTAAGTAGTTCAGAGCATAAAAGGCGAAGACGCGGCGAAGCGCAGAGGATGAAATCATGCCGTGGTACTAGTGTGATGAAAGTAAGGAAGCCTAAACAGGGAGAAGCCGGTGAGAGGGCTGAACTACAAGTAATTAGCTGTCACAGAGGAGTAACAGCTGTGCATCTAGCAAGGAGCAGCTGTGCAATGACCGGATGAGGTAAAAAAGGTCGCCAGACGAGAGCTAAGAAGGTGGAATAAAGAAAGGACAACGGACAAGAAGTATGCATGCGTGCATTGATTTGATTGAAGGAGTTATATCATATAATGGGTAACAGTATTCGGAAACAAAGAGACCACTGAAACGAGATTAGAGTATCAGCTCAAAGAGTGAAATCAGTAGAATTTAGGTCTAATTACTGAAGGACAGCATCGACACAATAGGCAAATACAGGAAAAATGCCGGCATGGTAGTAAGGATGAACCTTGGCCAACAATTCATTTCAGTTGAGGGTTAATGTTAGGTACGTCGGCAGAGCCTACGTCACTTAAATCTCGTAAGTCCGAGGTGGGTCAGAAAGTAGTAGACCGTTCAGACGAGTCCGGATAAGCCAGCAAGATGAAGTTAGGCCGCAAACTTAAGGTGCGATTAACAATAATGAGTGCCATAAAATAAGAAGTTTGCGGGACGGCAGCGGCTATATGGAAAGCAGATAGCATGTCAATGAAAGATCTCGGGATGAGGGGAACAGAGTGCTTGGAACGTAGAGCTAGATTAATAATAGCTAGAACGTCGGGAAGCAGTCAGAAACGGGTGCTGGTCAGCCGAGGGTAGATTAGAGCCAAGTCCGAAGGAATATCCGCCCAATTGAAAAAGTAATGCAAACAGAGTGCGAACGAGGAAGCGCTTTATTGAAGGTTAGTGGAAAAGCCAAAGATGTTTTCAGGGAGATGTGAGCAGACCGATATGTCTGCCCATCCATGATCATTAAGGTCACAGTAGTCGGAAGCAAAGAGACCACTGAGACAAGATTAGAATATAAGCTCAAGAGTGAAATATGTAGAATTTGCGTCTAATTAT